TTTGCCTTACAAATCTTTTGATTTTCTTTGAAAAGGTTACAGCTTATGTAGATGAGGGTAAGGGTGACATGACGGATTTACTATCATATATCTATTTATCGATGTTTGTTTAAGTTAAATTTATATTTAGAAATGTACATACTTTATACTGTTAAATCTGTATTGCGAAATTCCCGTTTATTCACTAGAATTGTCGAAAATTCTCGAGTGTAAGAATCAACAATATATGTGTGTATGTTTATATTGTTGCTTTACCTGAAATTTCGAGAAACTCTCCTCACTCCTATAAATATAACCAATGCAACGTGCCAAAAGACAATATATATTATTAGTTTGCTATAATTGGTATGCTATAAGCTTCGGAAGCTATAAATGTGATTGTTACATATTATTAGTTTGCTATAATTGGTGTACTATAAACTTCGGAAGCTATAATTGTGATTGTTAAAATGCTTATTAATTGGGAACTTCAGATATTTGACCAGATATTTTGTGTTATTCTTTGTATACTAAAATGTATTTGTATTAAAAACACTGTGTGTATCAATCTTGTTGGCAAGTGTCATAAATTGAATACATATCGACATTTATTTAATTTCTAAATTTAAATTATAGTTTAACTCAGTTTCAGGCTATTCGAAATTATAATACGTTATGCAATAAATTGAAGGCTCTTTATTTGCTCGTCTGGAATTAATTGTAATGCATAACGGTGTAGATTTGGTGTACCTGGATTTTCTGAAAGCATTTGACAAGTTGCCACATAAAATGCTTGTAAAAATATCTCTGTAGGTGTGGTGGATAGAGTGGCTGGATGGAAGAAAGCAGAGGGTTTTTTACAAATGGAGTTCAGTTAAAGTGGATTAATCTCACAAGTAGGGTACCCCAGGGCTCAGTCTTAAGACATTTGCTCTTTTTGATTTACATCAATGACATAGATGAAGGAATAGTCAATAAATTATTTAAATTTGCAGATGATGTTAAGTCCTTGGGTGTTGCTAGCTGTGAAGAGGATGCTGCTCATTTACAAACGAATTTAGATCATTTAGTTAGTTGGGCAAGTAAATGGCAGATGGGTTTTAATTATAATAAATGCAAGACAATGCATGTGGGTTATCATAATTTGAATTATAAGTATAATTTGGATGGGAATAGCCTTAACAGTGTCATGAAAGAAGGGGATCTTGGTGTAATAGTCAGTATGTCTCTAAAGCTATCCAAGCAATGTGCTGTTGCTAGTGGTTGTGCATATAGGATTTTAGGTTGTATCTACAGAAATATTGAATACAAGTGTAAAGAGGTTATAATTTCATTGTACAGGTCACTAGTTAGGCCACATTTGGAGTATTGTGTTCAGTCTTGGGCTCCTTACCTTAGGAAAGACATTGAATTGTTGGAAAGGGTTCAGAAAAGGGTTACTAGAATTGTACCTGAGATGGAAGTGTTGTCATACGAAGAGAGGCTGAAATCTCTCAGTTTGTTTTCTTTTGAAAAATGAAGAGTTAAGGGATCTGATTGAGGTGTTTAAAACTGTAAAAGGAAACGATAGTGTTGATACATCATCTTTTTTTATATTTAACAGGGAGAATAGTAGGGCTAGGGGATACAAATATAAATTTTGGCAAGGTAGGAGTCATCTTCAGCTAAGACAGTTTCATTTTTCTAACATGGTGGTTGGCCTTTGGAATAGGTTGCCTTCATATGTTGTAGAAACAGTAAACTTAAGTGAGTTAAAAAAAAAACTTGATAAGTATATGAATGATAAGGGCTGGCCTTAAGAGTTTTTCTTAATTATTTTAAATTAGTTTAGAGAATGGAATAGCTGAGATGGACCATTAGGTCCCATGTTGTCCCAAAACTTTATGTAGATGATGGTAAGGGGATGGGTTTGGTAAATTTAGATTTTCGGAAAGCATTTGACAAGATGTCATACAAAAGGCTTATTAAAAATTGTCCCTATAATTAAGTCGGATAAATTGGCTTGATAAATAGCTGTATGCTATATACGCACATAACTGCATTTACTATCTTCTCATTTTAATGCGGAATTTTTCAGAAATTTTAGTTTATTCAAAGTCTATCCAGTTTTCGTATAAACTGTGTTCAGTTAAATCAGATAGTCGTTTTGCTGACTTTGATCAAGTGCTTTTGTTTCTTTGTCACTCTGCTTATGGGAGACACAGATGAAATGGGCACATAGTGCAAGAACGTCTACAGCCAATGTCCTCCTTTGGTAGGCTAGATGATATTTTGACATTATATAACCTCCCCTGGCGGAATATACTCAATACACATAAAACCAAAACTATTGTGTTTGGTCCAAGCAAACAGAAATAATGATCCTGCCAAAATCCTGATCTTTTAATGATGAAATATAAAATGTTCCTGTACAACTAATTAATACAATTAAATATCTGGGGGTCAACTTGGATAAGCATTGACATGGAAGGATCAACTTGCAAACAGTTAAATTGAAGATCAAACAACAACTAAATTATAATTGGAATTACTTGGGGGTTGAATTCATTCTTCTCCTCTATTCTTATAAGGCCTTCATTCATGTTCGAATTACTTATGATCGTACTTCATGGATATCTGCCTCTTCTTTTTATGAAAACATATGACACTAGAGTGATATGCCATCTGTCTGGCCTTCACAATAAAGCAACTCAGTCTAGCCCAGGAGGTGTGTGATTGCATCTAATTTCCTAATATTATTCATCATCTCCAAAAGCTTGGTATAAAATGTATCACATGTATCACATGCTGCTTCTTGACTCACGATGTCATCCGACTTGCTAAACTCTCCAGTTCATACTCCACGAAAACAGCTTCCTCCAACTGAATATCTCTTCAACGTGTATGAGATGTTTCTTGTGGGGATTGACATGCTGCTTCCTTTATGAAAAACCTGGCTCCTTATGTTTATTCTTCTTGAAGATCTTTTCTTTCTTATATATCACTTACCTTCACAACTGATTAAATAAAGTTTTGGACACTTGAAGAGCACCATTTCATACCATTTATTTTCCGTTTTGGAATTCTTTTCAATACAGTAAAATTTACATCTTCTCATCTGTTATAAATACCCAATAAGCTCTGAAGTTTTATCTCATGGCTGAATATTATTTCTGTTGCATAACCATAACTAAAAATTATATCTTTTGCACCAAAGGGACTAAAGA